GAAGAGTAATTCACATTATCATCTCATAACAAAATAAGCTAAGGCGACTACTTGCATTCGGTAGTTCATAAAAGGAAAACCAGGGACATTTTTAGTTTTGCGGTCCATATCTCATTAAAATATCTAATGTTACTAACTATTAAAGAGAAAATGGGCACAATTCTGTTTTAATGTAGTTTGACCATTGTAACTGCTGTGCAGACATACTGATAAAATAGGGCTTCTAACTAATTAGGCTATACCTTAAATAAACTCACTAATTAATGAAGCCAGTTCAATACGCCTTATTCTTATTCTTATCATTCTTTATGAGCGCAGTAACGGTAAGGTATCTAATTACTTATTTATTTAGTATTCCATAACTTCATAACAGAGATGGTCAAACTGAAGTAGAGACATGGCAGAAATCCTACAATAAAGCGGGACAGTGAAGTGTTCTCCTGAGAGAGGGCGATCAAGAGAAGAGAGAGAGGGTGAGGGAGTTTACAGATAAAAAGACACAGAAAGACAGAAGCACAATAACAAGTATATTTAGGCAAGGCAAGGCAAGGCAAGGCAAGGCAAGGCAAGGCAAGGCAAGGCAAGGCAAGGCAAGGCAAGGCAAGGCAAGGCAAGGCAAGGCAAGGCAAGGCAAGGCACGTTTATTTATATAGCACCTTTCAACACAAGGCAATTCAAAGTGCTTTACAAAAAATGAAAGACATTAAGAAAATGGCATTTAAAATCAGTCATTAAAAAGAAAAGATAATAAAATAAACATTAAAAGAAAGAATACATGGATAAAAGTTACAGTGCAGTTTAAGATATGAATAGTTCAATTAAAAGCAGCGGCAAAAAGAAAAGTCTTTAGTCTGGATTTAAAAGTAATAAGAGTTGCAGCGGACCTGCAGGTTTCTGGGAGTTTGTTCCAGATATTTGGAGCATAATAACTGAACTTCTCCATGTTTAGTTCTGACTCTGGGGACAGAAAGCTGACCGGTCCCTGAAGACCTGAGAGTTCTGGATGTTTCATAATTTAGCAAGAGGTCAGAAATGTATTTTGGGCCCAAACCATTCAGTGCTTTATAAACCAGCAGCAGTATTTTGAAATCAATTCTTTGACACACAGGAAGCCAGTGTAACGACTTCAGAACAGATGTTGTGAAGTCTCCCCAGAACAGGAGTGATGTGATCCACTTTCTTAGTGTTAGTGAGGACTCGAGCAGCGGCGTTCTGAATCAGCTGCAGCTTTCTAATAGATTTTTTAGTGAGACCTGTAAAGACACCATTACAGTAGTCCAGTCTACTGCAGTGGCGAGCCGTGAGCTTTATACCTAGGCCCTCTGACCCCCACCAATTCCCTCGAAAAAAAGAAAAAAAAATAGTTATTACGGCACAGCGTATACTTCAGCGGAATATCAAAACAACGGCCCAGGGTGCAAAACGCATCAATGACAGCGACCCTCTACCACACAAAACAACACCTGTGAACCCAATTTGTGTTCTTTGACATTGAAAATGATATTGCATTGTGTTTGTTACTTTCGTTGCAGTTGTATGTCTTAAGTGTAATTTGGCATGCTTTTATTTTGAGGGCGAGTTCACGCTGTTGACAGGAAGTTGTTGTTGCTATGGAAACAAGAAAAGTTTCACAGCGGGCGGAACTTGTCATAAAGTCTGCGATAATAAAACCCACCCATTTAGAGGGAAGATATGATTGGTCAATTGTACTGTCATTTGACATTACTCTCTCGTTCAGTTACTATAGCGGGCCCTCTGTGAATCGCAGAGAGGGCCAGACGAGCTTCTTTCATGTAACCCTTCACATTCAACAGAGACTGAACAGGCAGATTCGAAGGATTTATTTCTTTGGAAATGTTATTTTAAATACAATTAAATCAAGTTTTTTTTCGGTAAAACTAATGAAAAATATAACAAAAATAATATTAAAAAAATATATATTTAAAAACAATATATTTTTTTTAAATGTTTTTAAATATTATTTTTTAGAATATCTTAGGCCCTCACAGAGGGCCTAGAGGGCCCTGACGGCTCGCCACTGGTCTACTGAAGATAAAAGCATGGACACGTTTTTCCAAATCCTGCTGTGACATTAGTCTTTTAATCCTAGATATGTTCTTTAGGTGATAGTAGGCTGATTTAGTAACTGTTTTAATGTGACTGTTGAAACTCACGTCAGAGTCCATGACTACACCTAGATTTCTGGCTTTATCTGTTGTTTTGAACATTGCAGACTGAAGCTCAGCGCTAACTTTTATACGTTCTGCCTTGGCTCCAAAAACAATTACCTCAGTTTTATCTTTGTTTAATTGGAGAAAGTTCTGACACATCCAGTCATTGATTTGTTCAATGCACTTACTCAGTGTTTGAATTGGAGCATAATCTCCTGGTGAAATTGTTACGTAAATGTGTGTGTCATCCGCATAACTATGGTAGCTTATTTTGTAGCTTTTCATTATCTGAGCCAGTGGTAGCATGTAGATGTTAAAGAGAAGAGGCCCCAAGATGGAGCCTTGAGGTACCCCATGTCATATTTGTCTACTCAGATCTGTATTTACCTATAGAAACAAAGTTTTTTCTGTCCTTTAAGTAGGATTCAAATTCAATTTAGGTGTTTTAAAAAAAATAACAGACGGTGTGAAGAGGAAGATAAGTCCCCTGGTTTGTCGCCATACTCTAACTGCCATGAGAAAACTCAAAATCAATTTTCCAAAATCCGACACTAGAGGTGGTCTTTAACGCACCGGCAGATGACAGCGCTGACAAGGTGTGTTTTATCGCAGCGAGACGCTACAATACTAATTGTGGGCTTATCATGTTGATTCGGCCACAACAGAAACAAATAAAAATAAACTCTCGATCTCCCCAGAGGGGCAAGTCAGGGCAAACGGGCCGTTACCCGGGCAACAATAGCCCGTACCTGTGCACGACGGTCCCTGCCACACAGCATGATCAAAGTCCAATACTGTGATCTATAAATCCTCCTGCAAGCATTAGCTAACACATGCTAAATCATTGTGCGAAACCTAAATGGCAAACCAGTTGCTAAATATTATAATTGTATTAGCTTGGTATAGCATGCATCATGAAGCTATATGCAACTTAAGGCCTTTATTGTAGGCCCAGTTTAATATGCAACCCCCATTTTATAACCATATGTAGCATGCTCACTGCTCTGTCTCTCTTTAGCTAAGGGTTGTATGGCCTGGAAAATGTTGAAGAGTGCTGTTTCAAAAGGTAATTTATGGAAATATTAAATACTGTGACTCATGCTCTCATACATAAATACAAAGGGCTCCAGTGCATACAACGTTTTTTTGTCATGTAGGCAGGGCCGTCCCTGGCCAACATGAGGCCCCATGCAAAGTTATATGATGAGGCCCTCTGTTTTGCGAGCGTCGACGGGGGATGGGGGGATGGGGGGACGGGGGACGGGGGACGGCGAGTGGAGCCTCGCAGCGGCGTATTAGAAGTATGCTGGACATTGGAACAGTCCTTCGGCGGGACTCGATGACGTAGTATCCTTGAAATAGTCGCTCTGGAGCAGCCTTCCTCGACATTGAGAAACACCCCGAATCACTCGTCGATATCTTGCCAATCCTTTTATGGAAAGCGCCCCCTGCAGGTATAACAATGTTGGTGACATCAAGTAACAACTAAGGAATCATATAATTCATAAATTGTCAAAGTATTGATTTGCAGTAAATTATGATTAATCACCTGTCCACTAAAGTGGACGTCGTGCATCACTGCTATATTTCAACTACAATTCATACTGTTACTGCTACTGTTGTTCTTGAAAATACTTCATCTGCAATATCTGTTTGGGCCGTAAATCAATATACTTATGTTATTATAATGTCATTTTAAGTTTGCACATCTTTATTTATCATTTTTTCCAACTTTACATGCCTTCAGTTCAAACTTTAACGCATACTGTAAATTTGAAAAAACTAGATAAAAAGAAACTAATCTTAAAATCGTGTTGTTCATGCCCCAAGAGCAATAAAAACACTTGGTACAAAAATCCTGAGTGAGGTTTTCATAATTCATGCATGAAAGGGTTAACGTGTTGTTTATTAAATGTAATGAAGCCCAGTTAAAAATCAGTTTTATTTTTATTTATTTAAATTTAAATGTACTATTTTATAATTATTTTTTGTTTGTTTTATTCTTACCTCTTGAACACTGGTTATTCATTCACTAATTTCACTAATATTTTCCTGCAGGTGCATTGTAAGTCCCCCCTCCCCTGCAGTCTCATTTTATTTTGAAACTCCTGTCTTTACCGGATGTTAGACATCACTGTGTGTGCATTTACGGTCACATCAGCGTGCGCTCAGAGGGAGAAAAGCCTCGCGCTTCTCCGCAGACGCTCGAGCAGCGAAAACCTGCGCGTGTTTCACCGCAAAGAAGACCCTCCGCTGCACAACAACCGGATTACCGCACTGCAAACCCGCAAACACCCCTCAGATAAGTAGGAAAAACTCTCCTTTAAAAACAGATTCTACATCTGGCTCTGCTTATTAAGACTTTGCGTTAATTATCCGGATAGTTGTTGATCATAAAGAGTTTATTTTTTCGTGTAAAGTGCGTTATTTTTGGATGAAAAAAACGCACACTTTTGGAAACTATACTATGAATTTAAAGCGCTGTAGGATGTAGTTTTTCCTTCTTTTTTCTGGAGGATCTGGACCTGCAGAATGAACTCAGAGAGCCTCTGCTTACTTTCTGTGCCATAAAGACACACCGAGCCATGGGTTGAAAAGCGACCATGATAGACTGCGGGGATGTTCACCGTGGGAGGGAGCAGGATTTTCTGTGTTATGTAATGATTGACAGTGCCTGATAATTAGAGGAAAATCTGAAAAAAACACCACCCCCACCCCCCCATTACCCCTACCCCCCCTTCCCTTGTATGTCAAGGAGTGCGTTTGGCATGTCAGGTGTTTATAATGAATAAAAGCTCTTAAAGTTTATTAACAGGATACAAGTCAGAGGATAAATTGGTATTCGGCTTTATATTGACATTTTCTTTTGCTTAGAGAGCCAGTAAAGCATTTTTGATTAACCTCATTTAGACAATACTTACCTTTTTCACCTCCTCCCCTCTCCAATCTTTTTTTGTATTATTATATTTTGAGTTAATAATCATCATGAAGCTCCTAACTGTTGATCTTCTCCATGCCGTTTTGGCAAAAATGACTTCAGGAAAACGGCTTCTTTTTGATTCTCTGCGTTGCATAATTCCTAATGGCTTCTAAAATGCTGTGATGTTAATTAATCTTGCCCTCACATTTGGGGATATGTAGTCAATCTGAAATTCTCAACCTCTGTGTGACTTCCTGTTTCTGAACACCTGTAGCCATTTAGTCAATCTTCACTAGAGCCTTCGTGGGTCCCTCCCTCCCCCCCACTCATTAGGGCTGGTGGGGGGGGGTAGGATTTCGGGGCCTCTCAGGGGGGTTTTCCAACCTGTGGAGGTCATAGGCAGGGCTCCAGAACCATGGAGACCAGCCCGGAGAGCCCCAACCGGGCCGTGGAGTATCTCCTGGAGCTCAACAACATCATCGAGAGCCAGGCCAAGCTCCTGGAGACGCAGCGGCGCCGCATCGAGGAGCTGGAGGGCCAGCTGGACCGGGTCAGCCAGGAGAACCAGGGCATGAGGAAGACCCCCGAGCAGAACCAGAACCACAACCACAGCCAGCCCCCACCCCTCCCCGGACATCATGGCGTCGGGAACGTCAACGCGGCGACGGCTCAGGTCTCTGCTGCTTCTTCTTCTTCTTCCTGTGCGACCCCCGGGCCCGGCAGGGAGCGGCGGAGCCACACCCGGCTGACCCGAGGCATCTCCTGCGGGTCCTCCAGTGGACTGGAGCGCACCGACAGCACCGACACCAACAACAGCTCCACCATGCGCAGAAAGTAAGTCCTCACACACATATACGCCTCCTTGATCCTCCACCAATCACTGATAGGCTTCATGTTATTTTAGAGGAATATTGGGGGTATAAAGTGGTGCAGGAATAAGTCCTTAACCTGGAGTTAGCATTTAGCACTTCCTGTTGTTTGGTTCGTTGAATCCTTTTGGATGTTAGCCTGTAATAATGTCTGTGAGCTAACGAAATCGAAATATTTTGTTCTACGACATCAGTATTTTCTACGTCAGTAAATACCCTACTGGTGAATTTCTAAAATGAGACATCTAAACGTCATCATGCCCAACATTAGCCGCCTTTAGCTTAGCGGTAGGGTGACCAGGTGCACAGCATTTTTATAATTTGTCCCGTGTCTCACAAATTGAGACTAAGTCCCGCATTTGAGTGACAGTCGCTGACGGCCGGCACCGCCCTTTATTATTATATATTTTAAACGGCATCATGTAAGTTGCGCTGACAGGCGACAGAGGTCCACAGTGTACAGGGAAATGTGCAGTTTGTCGTAGTAACATTTCCTTTTTTGGATTCCTAGCTTGCTTGGAAACTTAGCTATGCTCCACGAACAAAGGTAACATTATCTTACCTAATGCTTCTATTGGCTAGCGCTGCAACACATTGTACGTGATAGGCTAAGGGGCGGGACATCTCTAAGCGGTTGACCAATCACAACAGAGCCGGCCAGCTAACCAATCAGAGCAGACTGGGCTCTGGTTTCAGACAGAGGGTGAAAAGAGGTGCTGCAGCACAGGCAGTATGAGAACAATAAAGAGCTTTCTGAACATTAAAGCATGGAGACACATCTCACTAGAGCAGTGCTTCTCAAAGTGTGGTCCGCGGACCACTGGTGGTCCGTGACCGCCCCCTAGTGGTCCGTGAGTATATTGGTAAAATTTCACATTTGAAAAAAAAAATTAAAGTTAAGTTTTACGCACTCTCGCGGGAATATCTCCACAATGGAGCGAGCTTAAGTTTCACTTTCGATTGCATGATATAGCCCAGCGCAACACCTTCGTCACACATGTTGCCACCTGTTTGTACCATTTTCAGGCGATTTGTAATCTGTTCTAGAAAAACGATGTGTTTTGGGATATTTGTGGAGTAAGGTGGTCCGCGAGTGTTTTTTTATTGGTTAAGTGGTCCTTGGTATGAAAAAGTTTGAGAAACACTGCACTAGAGAGACTACATACTAATATGAACCTGAACATAAGCATAATAGGGCCCCTTTAATTGACAAACGTCATATTTTATTCTCTTGCCATTGACTACCATGCATATTTTTTCCAAATAAAGCCAGACTTTGCCTCTCTTTGCACATGTTATAGTGGGTTTGCTTTCCACCAATAAACACAGAGAAGAAGAACAAGCGCAGCACATTGACTAGAGAGCAAAACATGACCTTCTTGATGCAATTAGCTAAACACTTTGTTGATGCACTTAGAAATAATGAGTGAACATTTGGCAAAGTGTTCTTTGCTTCGGTTGTGATGTCAGTAACATTTGGATAGGTCACAGCTATGAATTATGAAAGGCTCCATCTTCGCTCGCTACATCTTTTACCCTCAGGAGTGCACGAACTACAGGTCATGAACTCCTTTCCAAAACACTTTGTGGGGTTATTTTTGGGGTTTTGGCAGAAGGAAATCCATATGGTGCCTCCCTAATGATTACCCCACATATATATACATGGAGCTGCATCCTCTCTAGTCATTATCTTCACAGTGATGGGGATGTATAAACACCAACATGAGGGAATATGCAGAGAGCCGAAGTATTATGGGTAGACTTATAAGTGCCCGAGGTGTCATTTCCTCACGCTGTGATGATGTTTCCCTGTGGAGGGTTTGATTTGTGTTGTGATCAGTCTATTATGTGATGTGCGTGGGAGTTGCATAGTTTGCAGAGATCTGGCCGGAGGGGTTTGTGTCTTTCTCCTGATAATCTGAACTCTCTGGACTTTCTGAAAACACCCTCCCACTGTTTTGCTAAAAGTGTGTTTTTATTCTCTTCCTCCTCTCTCTGCACGGTTTAGTAGATTTTTCTCCTCCTCCCCCCCTCCTAACTAAACTCAAGGCTGACCTGAAGTTAGAGTGCTGCAAACACAGCTTTGGCAAACAGCAAGTGCATCTGTCCTCGCTTTCACTTTCACCACGCACGCACACAGCAGATAGCTTTTGTAAGGGAAGCGTTGTGAGTAGGCAGCGACTCATGTGGAAAAGCACACAGTGAAATATATTGTTGCAGTCAGTCCCTGTGATGACATTCCTCGACATGCAATTATCACCAGATTCAGTTTTCTCATCATCCCAATCCTCTTTGACCAAATCCCTTATCGATTATCCTCTCCTCCCATCATCCCCGGGGCTCACTTAGTCATCACACAGAAGCACATATTAGTTATTTATGTGGGTGTTAAAGCGGTGATGAATTGTAAATGCAGATCTGGCTGATGCTGCCTTGTTAATTGCCTGTAGCCGAGTGCGGATCCAGACTCAGACGAGCGTATTATATGAAGTGTCACATTTAATAAGGAGTCACCCGCACGGCACAGCAGATTGTCCCCGTCTGGCTGTGACTCACCCTCGCCCAAAACTGGCCTATTATCTGAGGTCAGCCACAAAATCTGCTCCTCTGATAACGGATCAGATTGGAGCGTCGTGAGGAGGCTCTAAATATGGCCGGGATCGGAGGGAGAGACAGAAGGGAGAGGAGGGAGAGGAGACGCATGTCAGGGGGGAGGAGAGTTACAGAGTGACCGGACTCAGTCTGCAAGAGGAAAGGTGGAACACACACACTGATTCGCCATCTGTCAACAGTGTGTGTGTGTGTGTGTGTGTGTGTGTGTGTGTGTGTGTGTGTGTGTGTGTGTGTGTGTGTGTGTGTGTGTGTGTGTGTGTGTGTGTGTGTGTGTGTGTGTGTGTGTGTGTGGTGTGTGTGTGTGTGTGTGTGTGTGTGTGTGTGTGTGTGGTGTGTGTGTGTGTGTGTGTGTGTGTGTGTGGTGTGTGTGTGTGTGTGTGTGTGTGTGTGTGTGTGTGTGTGTGTGTGTGTGTGTGTGTGTGTGTGTGTGTGTGATGTGTGTGTGTGTGTGTGTGTGTGTGTGTGTGTGTGTGTGTGTGTGTGTGTGTGTGTGTGTGTGTGTGAGAGTCTGGTCTAGAGAAGGCATGGCTCTGAAGGCTGACTTTTGAGCTTTTGTCCTAATCTCTGCTGGCTGTCCCTCGACTCCTGAGGAACTCGATAAACTGTCCCACATTTAAATCAACATAAATAAATACAAAATATTTTAATGGCCATGTTCCATTTTTAAAAGGGGATCAAACTGTGAGTTTTAAAGCTGGTAAACAACTAGCTATATACTATCCAATCATATCTTGCATACTAATTCAACATTTACTTTCTTTCCAAACGTTGCAAGACTTCCTCCCATTTCTTACAGAAGCTATCAAGCCTCTCCTGTATAGCAGAGGTTCATTTACTGTCCCCATTTGTTGTTATTTCCTGTAGCCATGCGTGCAGCAGATGCATCCAAACAGAGTGGCTCCTCTCTCTTCACTCTCCCCAGCGGCACGCCATTAACAGCTGTCCCAAATTCCTCTCCTCCTGTTAATGGTGGTGTGAACAATGTGAGGCCTTCAGGTGCCGAAAGCATTTCTGAGTTTCTCTCCTCCGAGAAGCAGCGGGGCGGAGGGCATCGCTGCAGATGTTTTTCTCTTGTTGTTATTTTGGGAGAGGTCATGCTAGTGTGTGTGTGTGTGTGTGTGTGTGTGTGTGTGTGTGTGTGTGTGTGTGTGTGTGTGTGTGTGTGTGTGTGTGTGTGTGTGTGTGTGTGTGTGTGTGTGTGTGTGTGTGTGTGTGTGTGTGTGTGTTGTGTGTGATGTGTGTGTGTGTGTGTGTGTGTGTGTGTGTGTGTGTGTGTGTGTGTGTGTGTGTGTGTGTGTGTGTGGTGTGTGTGTGTGGTGTGTGTGTGTGTGTGTGTGTGTGTGTGTGTGTGTGTGTGTGTGTGTGTGTGCTGTGTGTGTGTGTGTGTGTGTGTGTGTGTGTGTGGTGTGTGTGTGTGTGTGTGTGTGTGTGTGTGTGTGTGTGTGTGTGTGTGTGTCTGTCTGTCTTTATATAATGCATGGGCTTGTGCAAAAAAGTGTGAAAGAGGGTAGGAGTGCATGAGTGTAATTACCCCTGGCCCAAGGGTGATAATTACTGCTGTGCGCGTATTAATATAGAATGAGTGTGTGTTTGTGGTGCATTGTGGGATGTGCGTTATGAGATGTGACCCTGCAGGACAGGCCGTCATGATGTTATGATGTGACAGAACTCGCTGTGTGAAGCAGAGATTTACCCTTCATTATGAGCAGCTGTCCTCACAGGATGAGAGAGGGGGGGTGGGGGTAGATAGAGGTCTCTGTGACGGCCCCTCTGGTGAGGATACTCACAGTTTATTATATAAAGCTGAAAGGAAAAGAGGACTCAAGCTTTCTCACTGTTAGTCAGCAGCTCCTGAAGCAGGGCTGGGCGGTAAATCAACATTAGTATCTGTGTAATCCTCATATTACATTACATGTTACATTACATTACATTACATGTCACTTGTTAGACGCTTTATCCAAAGCGACTTACATACTCAATACTGTGGGGTGAAGTGACATGCTGACTGCAGTGGGGTTTGAACCTGTGATCCCCTGATCCCCCTGATCCGAACACCAACGCACAACCCACTTCACCACACGCCTCCGTATCACATAGGATTAATACTGTATATAGTTATTTTCTAGCACTCATCTGGTTGTCATCATTAATATCTTTATTACTACTAATACACCAATCTTGTAATATACACATTTTAACGTATTTTTATTGTGGTTTTGTCCATATTTATACTTTAACTTGTTTTCTTTATATACACATTTTTATTATTTTTATTCATCTTTTAATTGCACAGTTTTACTTTAACTTTTTAAATATTTGTATGTGTATATTCATATTTTTTATTGTATTTAT